CAGCTCATCCGTCCTTCTACCTGGCTATCCAAGCAGACACTCGAGCCTTGGAAGACAGGTTCTCCCACTTGAAACGACACTTGTAGGCCAATGAATGATGCCTCCACAGGTACAACACGTAGCGGTGCTGGCTCGTGGCACCAGTGTTGACCAACACATCGGTGAGGTGCTGGGCTTGATTCGTCTTAAGCCCAGACACAGGCCGTCATCAGCATCAAAGTGTCAAAGCACACTCGCTCCCTTGCAGCTCGATCCTCAGAACCAAGTCCTTCTGCTTGTGGCACCGTCACCGGCGACAGCGGAAGTGGGGTTATGGATGCCGATGTGGTAGTACTCGGAGATGCCATTGGCGTAGGCGGCGTGGAAGTAGTTGCCCGAGGGGTAGTCGGCGTCCTTGAGGTAGAAGCACGCGGGGAAGTAGGCGGCGTTGGGACGGGGCGCGTAGGCGGTCTCCTCCGTCGAAGCTCACTTCTCCGGCTCGCCTCAGCAATTTCGCGCCTCGCAGCTCCAGTAGCAAGACGACCACATCCTCAAGCTTCTTAGCCCTTTTGCTGCGCTTCTGCCATCGTTTGCACTGTCTGTAGGCGTAACGAAAACCTTCCCACAGTGTCACGGCAAAAGCTGATGCCACCAAAAACACCAACACAAGCTCATCCCAACTAGTGCTAGGGAAAGGTTCCTTAACATCCTGCTCAACACCCCTGGCTGGGCACACGCACTGAGCAACTGTAACGTGTATCATCATCAGCTTCAACTTCAATTCTCGGATCCATTCAGTCACAAAGCTAACAAAGCCCCATAGCTACATCAGCCGTTGAAGCCGAAGCTTTGGCTGAACTTTAGTGGCCAAGTCGGCCAACCCGCCATTTTTGACGCTTTCCTTCACGTAGTTCGCTCTTATCTTTAAGTGTCTAGTCCTTCGCGATCCAGGGCCTCCAGCCCACATTGCAACCGCACTCTGGCTGTCGATAGCCAGGAAATTGATGTACACACCCGGACACACTTCATCAAGAAGAGCATGAACTGAACTAAGCATCGTGCATCCTTGGGTCGCTGTGTAGAGCTCCGCTTCCATCACACTGAGTGTGATGAACGACTGACGACTCGCCTTCCATGCTATTGGAATAGCCACAGCAGCTCCAAAGCTGCGTCGGTTGTAGGGGGCATACGACGCATAAGTGAAGCAAACAAGCTCGTTCAGAAGCTCCTCTGTTGGGCCCAAGGTTAGCCTCACATCCGATGACCCAGTGAGGTACGTCAGCACCCGATGTCCAATTCGAAGCACGTAAGCCGGTTTCTTCGCCAAGGTCATTGCCATATGGCTGGTCGTAAACAGCAAATCCGGCCTTGTTTTAGTCGCCAGCCAAAGGAGCTCGCCAACGATTTTGTGAGCCTTCTTGATCGCTTCCTCGTCGATGTCCGCCTCAGGCTCATCATCATTCTCGGCTTGCTCGATCCATCCACGTGGTACAGGTAGTTGGGTAGTATGGCAGTTCTCCAAGCCATACGATCGAAGAGCATCCTTGACGTAGGCCGACTGCCCCACCGTAAATTTAAAAAACCATCTCGCAACTCCATCTGACCCGGTTCAGGACTCTGTTCGAATCTCCATGCCTAGGTAGCGGACAGGCTCCAGCTCGCTCACCCATTCTAGGCCGGACGCCGGCCACTCTTCAATGATGAAGTCATGCAACGCCTTGACAATCGGCTCGGTGGAGCAGTAGGCGATATCGTCCACGTAGAGAACGATGAGGCCATGCATCGTTCCAGTAACCTCACAAAGGACCATCCAAAACTAATTCAGGTGCTGAAACTGTAGGCCTCAATACTAACACCAAGTCCCCAACTCGAACACGAGCCTTGCGTAGCTGATCATTCGGATAGGTATTCCAAACACGGGGTGATTCCTGCAATCCGTACAGTGGACGTTCCACTATCCATGCTTCATTGCCCGCCACTCCAGAATCTCGACCCACCCGACAAGGATAGATCCCGTACTTCGGCAAGTTCCCGGCCACGTAGCTAGGAGGAAAGCTCCAGTAACGTCGCTGATCCCAGCGACCCACCGGCGAATCGCCGCCACCAAGCTCATCCTTCGAGCGTCCGTAGACGTCCCGGCCGCGTACAGGTCGCCAAAGCATTGGTTGTCCTTGACAAAGTTGCCACATATCACCAGACAGCATTTCCGTCTAGCCTTCTTCCCAATGACCTGGGGGGCTTCAAGGTGAACACACATTTGGCTGGAGCGAAGATCACCTGTTTGATGGATTCCAACCGTTTGGCCTCCTCCAGCGTGACTCGTCTCAAAGTATCCGAGGTAAAGAAGGCCTCCACCTCCCTCTCGATGGCCTCGGTCCAGCGTGTTAAGTACTGCTTAACCTGGGCCGTAGGTGCTGTGTGAACCACCTTCAAGTCCTGCTCCAAGCCTTCCAGAAGGGTTTCGTAGTCAATCTCCTCCTCACCAGTCGCCTCGGTAGATGCCCTCGCCGTCATCAAGCAAGTCATCATCTTCATCCAAACCAACAAGCTCCTTGTGGACATACTCGAGGAACTCGCTCACCTGATCCCTCGTATCTGTGAGCTGCACCCTGGTTTCTTGTCCCATTCGCCGGCACTCCTCACTGAGAGTCTCCTCCTCCTCAAGTAGATCACGTAGACGAGCTGCTCTATCCTCAAGGTCCCGTATTGCCAGCTCCAGGTCATGCGTCATGTAAGAGGCTGACGCACTCCTATTCTCATCACCAGGCCCAGCTCCCCACCTGTGTCTGCAGCGTGTTCTGCGGGATCTCGAGGTTGGTCGTCGCACTTAGCTTGCGTTGCATTCATGAGTCCCACTAGCATCGGCTTCAAGCTTGGCGCTGGTAGTACATGTGGTTCTTCAGGTCGCGACAGGCGAGGTTCCCACTGAGTAGGCAACCAAGACGACTCTCGTGCTTCCGTACCAAGGCTTGGTAGAGTGCTAGTGCTTGTGCTTCGGATTGCAGATCTGGTGGGTGTGGTCGCCATTCGCAGGTAAAACCCTCACACCCTCCGGCTCCTCTAGCTCCATGAAGTACGGTCAACCATGTCGTTATTAGCCCCCCTCCCCCCCCCTCCCCGTTACTGCTTACGGTCAACCATGTCGTTATTATCCCCCCCCCCCCCAGTCCCCAGTAGCCGATTTCACGGGTACGGTAAACACGCCGCTGGCTACTTCATGGAGCTAGAGGAGCCATGAAGTAGGACAAGCCGGCAATCTAGTTGTTCCCAACGTTGTGAGCATCCACATGTTGCTTGGTCTGAACATCGACCGAGATTGCCGCATTGAACTTGTGGTCGGGCTGGAGCTGCTTCACATACCTTACAAGGGCTTTGGCAATTGCCGGGAAAGAGGAAATTGCTGTCTTTACCCTTACTATACTATACTTCCATGGACGAACGCTCCCGATATCCATATCTTCTGAGCATCCCTTGAGGACCAAAGCGCTTTGGCAGAGGAGCATTCGAAGGAAGCATCAATGCCAGGATTTCGAGCTGGTCTGGGGCCAAACGTTCTTCTTGAAGCAAACGACCAGCAAACTGTTCAGCAGGGTGGTCTGGATCATAGTCAAGAGGAGGGTCAGAATCACCAGGCGTCTCAAGGTCCCTGGCCCCATGCTTCGTCCTCAGTCTCCTTGTAGGAACCGGCAATAACACTTTCATGTTCATCAAGTTCAAACAGAGGTGATCAAGACTTGGCCCAACATAGCGCCCGGCCTTCCATCTTGAGTCAAGGTCATACCTCCTGCCAGTTCCATACACCTTCGATCGTACATGCACCTTCGTCCCAAAAGGTAACATAGCTGAAGACCGTCTCAAGACCTTCTCCATCTGCTCCTGTGCCGCGTAGTTGGCCACGACGGCCCAGGTCTCGTTGCCCAAGTCCGAGGCATGAAGCAGTCGCTTCACAGCTGTCTTAACCCACTTGACGGCCGCCTCCCATGGAGAGAACTCCACGTTCCAGCAGCCACCGGCGTAAAGGCTCCACCCTGAGTTCTCTGGCACGGTCCGAGTGAACCCGAGAAACTTACAGTCCCTCAGTTCGTAACTTCAGCACTAGCTCGTGCACTGCTGCCGTCACCTCCGCCGACGTTCTTGTCCTGTGAGGTTTGACCACATGCACAGTGTCATAGTCGAGCTCCGGGCCAACTTCATCAAAGATCCTGTCGAACTCTTGCTGAGATAATCCACGTAGTGCACTAGCATCATCATCATCATCATCAGGAACATCAGAACCTCCTCCATTGGGTGAGGATCATCATGATGATCCGCGTCTGCAACTCCGCCGTCGATCTCGAAGTCCCCAATACCGCCCACAAGGTCTCCAGACTCAGGTGGTAGTGCATCACGTGGTTCACCTGGTAGCTCCTTGGACGTTGGTAGTGCATCACGTGGTCTCGGCAAGAAGTAAGCACCCACTAAACGGTAACGATAGTCCTTGTGATTGGGATCTGCAGCTCGATGTCGAAATGGTTATGCGACGTCCAAGCTCGGACAGTTGGCACTAGGATGTCGTACCCTCCTGTGTGCCCTTTCCGTCGCCCAAGATCTCACGCAGGTACCGCAACGCCGAATGGCAAGTGGTTGTTGCGCAAGACCCGGACTGGCTGGCTCCAGAATCCAGCAACCCAGTCCTGTCATCGATGGGGTTGCACTTGCGACCAACGGCTTGATTTGCCACCTGCGTGGACGACAGAGCCATTACTTTAAGTTGCCGGATTTCTTTAAGCATCGCCGAAGCTGGAAGCCTTCTCTTTCCGAGTTAAGTTGTGGGAACATTTGAGCACCCTTTCTCCGTCAGGTAGAACCGGCAGGTAGGCTTGGCCTTAGCCTTCGGGCTGCCATGGCCAGCACCAACATCCGCACTTGCTCCGACAGGTGGCTTTGGTGGAGGCGGAACCGTAGCGCCTTCACAAAAGGTGTGCTCGAAGGTCCCGGCCTGCTTCGGTACGCCACGTGTTCAGCACTGACATCAAGGCTTGATGCAAGTCTTTGGCACCTTTAACAGTAGGCCGAGTGTCTACCTCCATGTTGTACCTCAGCATCGACACCTGGAACGCAATGTCCTGATTCTCAGACACCACCACCTTGACAAGCTGATCCAAGCCCTTGATGAGCACGCTGGGGTCTGGAGGCTGCCCATAGGTTCTCCTGCATCAAATTCTGGTTCTGCTCGTCGTGCGACTTCATCCCCCTTTGCACTTGCCGTTTCACTTCAGCCGGGAGCTGCTCCTGCGACAGAGAGCCGCTGGAAGGTGCCACCTCAGCCGCCGGTATTGCAGGTGGATCAGGGGAGTGTAGGTGAGGAGCCCGTCGTGCCCACTGTGCCATTGTATGTTCAGTTTCAAGTGTAAACAGTCTAGTCTGTGCTGTCGAGCAGGGGTTTTGGCGACCTGATTAGGCGTCCGGGCATTCCGTGACTCTAGAATGGGCGTCATCATAGCGCCGGCTTGACTCACTCTCCTCTGAACAAACTCTCCCAACCACATGATCCAAAGGTTCTGGCCTCCAGTACTCTGCTGTCTTCAGGAAAATCAGGGGAAAACTCCATGCCCCGAACCTCGACCCGCTGGCCCACTTGTGTGTAGACCACCTGCGAAGTTGAAGCTGCCCCCGAATCCGAAGGACCCAAAGCCACTGAAACTCCTGATCCTATCTGATCTGTACTCACAGCTTTCTGATGCCCCATATGAGGCACTTCCAAGGTGACGGCTTCGTGCGGCTCATCCACAACGACTTGTGGCTGGACGTTCTCTCCAGTCACAACGGTAGCAACACCAACCTCCTACGAATCACTCGCCAGTCGTGCAGGTGGCATCGTCGTGGTCGTCGTTGCACCATATCCTGGTCCTGAGACCTCGCCCTCAAGCACAACGGCTGGTTTTGGGCTCATACCCTGATGATCGTTGGGGATCATGTTGCGGTCTTCGGGGCAACGAGCTAGGGCATGGACATGGCCAGAGCTCGCACAGTTTTTCACGACAAGGCATAAGTCTGTGACCTCTTACCGTTAGAGCTGCTCTCAAGTCATTGTACATCTTTACAGACAGCTCTAGCAACTCGTTTGCAGCCGCCTAGTTCGGACTCTGAAAGGCTCAGCCATCGAGGCTGCAGTACGAAGGCACGCACAGCTCAACACCATCAACAGAATCATTTTGCTCTGATCCTCTGCGACCGTTAAACGGAGACACCGCAACCACAGACATGAACGGGAACTATGCGCGTTCGTTCTGCAGCGGCGACAGAAGCTGGAAGCTATCCATCGAGTTGGGACAGTCCTCAACTCTTTCGGCATGTGCCTCGCTAGGCTCTTGCGATCAATGGCTGTTTGAGGTTGGGAGCCAACTAGACCGCAAGCAAACAGCTCGGAGACGGGCTACGAGACTTTGGATGAGGCACTTCTCGCCATTTGCTAGCCTGAGCCTTATTGCTTCGTCAAATGAGGTCTTTGACAATGTCCTTGACAAAGACACCATCTTCGTATGCGTCAGGACTTTCTCCAGCCAAGGCTTCGTGCGGTTCGGGATAGTGGTGCATCTCTGTGCAGCTTGCATTTCGAGAAACTTATTGACATGCTCAATTTATGATGGTATTGTCGTGTGAAGTAGTCCCGATGCTGTTGTCACTGAGCCTGTGCCCTCTTGGATTCACCCAGGGAGCGCGATGTGTATTGTCAAGGCAAGAGTCCCAGACAGGTTGGGCGGCAAACGGGCAGCCATGACTCAGCTTACATGACCTCATGTGAGTGCTGCCAGACAGAGAGAGAGCAGCTTGCTTGCACAGAACACCTCACGCAGAGCGTCGGCTTGCATGCAGTTTCAGCGTCCAGGACATGAGAAAAGTCAGCATGTTGAGGAGCAGTTTTTGAAGTATCATGTTGGGGTCAAGTGCAGTCGCTGAACCACTGCCTCGGGATCTATCGCGACATCGCGAACTTTTCGACTAGCTTTTACGCCTTCGGCATCTTTTTGCTGTGCCCCCGCGTCAACCGCTGATGGGCAGCCGGCGGACCACTGTGCACACAAGCCAAACCCGCATTGAAGAATCCGCAAGTCCCGAAAGAAAGGCGGATGTAGAGATGGCTGCGTCTCCCTCACAGGCCTTGCCTGGCCTAGCGCAGTCATTGCGTCATTCTTATTCTAAACCAGACATACCTGGCACCACTCTGCCTCCTGCCTTTGTATCACAGATGAACTTTTACAAGTCTTCCACACTCATAAAAACTAAGGCCTCATGACCAGACAAATGCCTGACCGAAGTCGGGCGCCCCGTATATTTTTCGGCTTGTATACACTGGGATCTGGATCATGACATTGTTGAAGTGGTTTTGCTAGGCTTGTAGTGAAAACTACAGAGCAGAGACTCGCTCAACATTGTCGCTTTATTTCTCGCGACAGAATCTACACCTCCCTTGTCCAGAAAAGCACGCTTTCACACTTTGACAACAGAGTATGGCATACGCGGCATACACAATGCAGGTTTCGAGGTTCCGATGCAGCCGACCCAAGCCTTGAGCCGTCTGATACAGTCCTACAAGAACACTACGCCGAATTATCTCATGATTATTTTGGACTTGGATCAGGCCTAGCCCCCCTCCTTGGAACAGGAAGCAATCCATCCCCCTTCGACAATGAGAAGAATAGTCTCTTCTTTGATTCTTCCCGTCGTTTCAGCCAGCTTGTGATCCGGCAACTAGCTTACGGTAGCCACGGCGAACGGGTGTCAAAAGAGCGAAGCGAAGAGACAAGGTGCATGATACAATCAATTCCTGGCAGCTTGACTTTTGATTCTGAAGCGCAGGGTCCGGCCTAGGCGGCACCACTCGCCAAAAACATATTCATCAATTAATGCTGAACCGCTGCTGAACACTTCTTGGTCAGTTTGGCCATTCTCGTGAATGTTTCTGGCCGAGAGGCTGTGATTCCGTCCTCACAGTCTTCGCAAGACCAGATTTTGACAAGGAGCGCGAGTAAAAGCTTTGCAAAGTGCACACACCCGGCATTCCTGTTTCGCGTTTGATGAAGGTGTCCGTGCTTGTGCAGGAGTACATTCCCTTCGCTCAGCTCGAGTTCCTTGGGCATGGTGTGGAATGGAATTGCATGTGTTTGACGAGTTCATGTTTGACGTCCGAGGCTGAACTACCCCTCGATTTGGCAGCTAAGGGATAGCCGGGCTCTAAGCAAGCACAACCTGCACGTGCTAAGTCTAAGCGTCCCTCAATGAAAATTACAGGGTCTTGTGCGAAAGCCATGTGCACTGTTTGCGCGAGATAGCACGAGGTTGCTGTGCACTGAACGATGGTTTCCAAATTTGTCACTCCGGTTGCACGTGCTTTCCATGTCTGTTGAGCAGTTGTGAGAACCAGTGCCATGATCCCACTTGCCGCCTGTTGCGGTTTCGAGCCGCGTCCTAGACACCTGAGGTGCGGCTCCTGCCAGAATGGGTTTCACTACACAGGCTCATCTTCAAGCAGAGCTGTTGAAGGTCATGCTCTGCTCAGCTTGGAATCAGGCAGACTTTCTGGAGGACTTCAACCTGGAATGGGCAGTGTGCAAGATGCTTTTCAGATGTGGATTTTCCGAGTTCTGCAATCATGGTGCGGGTTACGGTAAGGGGGCCTCTTTCCAGAGACGGGAAATATGGCGCATGTTTGGTGGGAGGCAGACCTTGGCAAGAATCGCTTTGATTTGGTTTGCTCGCATCTTTTGCCCCGAACGCCCCGCTTGTGAAGAAATGAGGAGCAGGCCAGCAGCACAGGCAGCCACCCTCCCTGGGCACTGATTGCACAAGCTCTCAATGGCGATTATTGTTTTCGAATTATTGACCCCTGCTAGTTCTGCATTAATTTCTCTTGCTTTGGTGGAATGGATAATTACGACGGAGAAGAGTGAAAGACAGGGAACATGGGAGAAGCACTGCTTGATCTTGTCAGTCTCCTTCATGCTCTCCCTTTCCCGACAATTTCCTGTTCCCATCCTCTTTGCATTCTGATTACAGTTCATTCTACATTATCTTCCCACATCGACATGCGAGACTTGCACGTCTCCTTGGCAGCCTTGCAACTGTGTGGAATCGGCCACATGCCCCTGGCTTCTTCTCTTTGCGGCTGCTGTGGGCTGTCTGAACTGTCCATTAAAGCGCGACATCGGGGAGTTTTCGCACCCTGCTTTGCCAATCATGCCGGCGGGGGATCCTGCGACTGACCGCGCATCCTCAGCCCCTTCTCGTCAGCCTGTGGGGATGAAACTTCCTAGGCAATGAAAAAATGAAAAGGCTGAAGTGTGTGTCAGAACGTTATACCATTTCCACGTTGGCAGGTCATCCGCAGGAGCAGAGCGCTTTGTCTCTTCAAACCTCAGAATACGGGGTTAACAGGTTTGAGACGATTCATCCGACCGGAAGTCCTCAGTCTCTGAGCTTTTTCGCAACACTCTCAGTCTTTCTCAGTTCCTTCTTCTGCTATCTCTTTTTCTGTTTCCTTCTCCCTCTCCGTGTCGTTTTCCTTTTTTGTTCTTCATATCATTTTTGGTTCTTTCCACCCCCTCTCTCTCTGTCAAATGACACGAGCCCAATGACCATACAATGTTCAAGATGCATTTGTGAATGCAACAATGCCGAATGGCATTGGCTCAAGACTGCTTGGTTCTTTCTCTCAGTCGCGCAGAGCGTGTCCACAGGTGAAACCGCTCGTCAGCAGCCCTTTCAATGGGACGAACGTGCGGGGAAAACATCGATAACATAGAGTCGGCGGAAGCATACAGCTTGGGGAACAAATTCAGGAAACACTACATACACGATGGACATGACAGGGCTCTTCGCTACCCTTTTCGGGTGAGACGATGGCAGGACTAGGGTAAATTTTCCGGCCACTGTGGGGAAAAGCTTAGTCAGAAAGGATGCTTCTAGAGTCGCTGGTAAAGCTCACCCGACGCACAAAAGGAATTCGTGACCACTCGCCGATAAAGGATGGATCACCTGATAAGTCAGTTGACGTTGGCGTAAAGCATGGGAAGGCCGTGGTCCCCCGGTCGGCTCCCCTAGACAGCTTTGTGGAATACTTCAGACGGGGCAATTGCTAAGTTGGAGTCAAAGTCATCCAGGGGGAAATTGCTGTGCAAGCTTTGACAGATCATATGTATGGTCATCCAGAAGTGTGTCCCGCCGTAAGGTGTAGACATGCACCTGCAGACCTGACAGTCTGATGGGATGTTTTAGAGGTTTCCGGTTGCGTCATTGGGAGCCACCGGTCTCCCATGCTTGGCAAAACACGTAGGCAAAGAGCGGCAGGGTCAAGTGGAACAAACGTAGGGAGGCGCACCACTCCCACATCGGTCTGGAAATAGAGTGCGGGATG